AGTGCTGGGATTAAAAGTGGGGGCCATCATGCCTGGCAAGGGTGCTTTGAAATCAGAGTTCTAGAACTTGTCTGTCTGTCCTGGAATCGCCCTTTGTTGGTTTGTCTTTCCAAGTGTTTCTTCTGTCTATGCATTATCCTTCTCTTTGCTTCACATAGTCCTTCACAGACAGGCAGTTTAATTTTAATGAATTCCAAGTTATCAACCTTCATGAGTGTGCCTTCTTGTCTTTCATGTCTTATATAAAGGATGGATTTTTCACAGTAATGTAACTGGGCAAACTATACAGAGCTTATTAAAGTAAACTGTTGCACAAATAACATAAGCTGGCAAGAGCTATAGGTTTCTTTTCATCAGTGGTTGGCTAACTGTCCCCAGAGTTTCCTTCTCAGTGTAAACAATCATCAACCAGATGAATGCATAAGACAACAGATCTCAGAACCCGGCTAGCAGGTGTCACGGGATGATGATTCCTGAGAAATGCAAAGTGATGATGCAAGAGTTACAGTGACCTAAAGTACTGCTTGGCCGGTTCCCAGGAACCAAAGCAGACAGAACAAGCCAGTAGAGCAGCGTAGGTGTGCTGGTACCACTGAAGCAGTTATTGCTATACCGGGAGCCTGTTGCTGGCCAAGTGTTTATCTGCACACCTGTGGGTGGCAACTACCCAAGGAAAGGGGGAAACTCAGCCTCGATCATTGGAGCCAGCAATTCTTGGAGCTCATCAAGGACTGGATAAGTGTAGAATCCCACCAAACACAACAGACTTCGTGAAGAATAGAGCTGTTATAAGCATCATGTAATAGTTTTGAGACAAATTATTCCCAGAATGAAGGCTCATTCCAGAATGATAGACCCACCATCACAGAATAAAAAAAAAAAAATAAAAAATAAATAAAAAAATAAAAAAAACAAGCCTCAGAGAAATCACAAGGGACCCAGCTACACACCAGAACAAATCCAACTCTTTAATGAAGTTTATCGCCCAAGAACATCAAAGTCAAAATATTCAGGATCTAATCAAAGACATGCAAAGAAACAGGAAAATATGACCTATAACTGGAAGAAGAATGAATCAATAGGAACTGATCCAGGAATAACAAGAACTGGAATAGATACAGACAATAAAGCAGTTCTGAGACCTATTTTTAAGAATATACTCAAGAACAGGGAAGAAAATATTAAATGATAAGAATAGCTTTAAAGAACTTTTAAAATATCCTCATGCAGCTTTGAGAGAGAAAAAAATCCCACAATTTCTACAATAATAAAACATTTAGTGGAATTAGTGCCATAGTGTACACTATATAATCAAATAGTCAACCTGAAGAAACATCAAAACTAATTTTAGAAAAATGTGCTTTTTATCCTACAGTTGAAAGCACAATGTCAGATGGCTTAACACATATAATTATAATCCAAGAAAAAGAAAAAAGATAAGCAAGAAAAAGAAGTACATGGTCAGAGTAAAAGGGCTTTGATGTGAATAGATAACTCGGTTAGAGGAATCTTAGCAAACCACAAGCAGTAAAAATGGAAATAAAATCTCGTAAAGATAAAGGCATCATGACCTACCTGTGAAAAAGTGGTACATTCTCAACTTGCAGGTAACCAGAGGCAAGGGCATCTTTGGTACTGGGGTGGGGTGGGGGCGTGGGGTGGGATTTAGGCAGCTTCTCATTCTAAAGAACGAAGCTCAGAGAATTAGGGCAATAACAAGGGCTGACAGATTATATACCCTAAATTCTGTTCCCAAATGAGAGAGTCTTTCAAAAATCTAAGAGAAATAAAGACTTTTAAAAATTGTTTGTTTGGAGCATGTGTGTGCTCATTCGTGTGTGTGTGTGTGT